TTGATACTGTATAGCAATGCATATTTAGTAGAGAATATTGGATTAAAATTGAAGCTCAAATCAATTAAACAAGTGTTTATGTTGTGTAGGAATTAGTGAAGTATTATGATTTGGACTCACTGAAAGAAAACGCTGAGGACAGAAGAGTGGTGAGTGATTTAAGCCGGCCTTAAAATTCAAGTTTTATCTTTACATGGGCATAACAACCATCCACAACACGATTAAAGTTAAATTCAAGATAACCATTTAATATTCTGATGGAGAATTATTCTATATAGAAAAACGGTATACACTATACATTACCTTGCAAGTGAACGTATAGAAAAAATTAATCTTCCATCCACTTCAGTAAATGATATATATCAGTCGTTTCATATCCAGGTCTGTGATTTTCGTATTTGCAGCATTTGAACGAAGAACAAGAAACACTGGAGTCAAGAAGAGAGACATTGAAAGGACGTAAGTAAATTGAAGTGATTTCTTGTGTGTGTTACCAGGTTTGATGTTTACTCATTATTATATTTTCCAAGGTGTTGGAGACATGAGTGCAAAATACGAAGCTTTAAAGAATAAACTGAATGAAAACGAAACTTACTCTCAGGTTAACTTATAAATCAATGTTGTAGATACGAATGAGCCTGCCACGCAGGTTATGCTGTAGAACGATTGAATTTTCATGTAAAAAAAATGCTTCAGTCATAAATACAAAATTGTTTATCTTTTAGCTGGCAAATCTGGAACGAAAATGGCAACATCATGAGCAGAATAATTTTGTAATGAAAGAGTGTATCCTTTTTTCCAATTTCCGTTGTCGTCGTTGTGCATTATTTTCTGCTGTGTTTGTCGTTGCTATTTGTCGTAATTTTATTGTATTATGTTGTTGTTGTTCTTGATGTTGTTGTTGTTCTTGATGTTGTTGTTGTAGTCGTTCCTGTTTTTGTGGTAGTTTTTCTTAGTCATGAATCTGTGTCCCAGTAGGTAGTGCCAACAAGGAGAACTTCGACGTTTCGAGCGAAGGGTCTTCGCTCGAAACGTCGAATTTCTCCTTGTATTTTTCAGTTAGTTGCATCCCTATCAACCGAAGTTTGTTAAGTTTTGTTATCGCAGTTGCTTTTGTTCTTGCTGTTGCTGTTGCTGATGCTGTTGTTGTTGTTGTTGTTGTTGTTGTTGTTGTTGTTGTTGTTGTTGTTGTTGTTGTTGTTGTTGTTGTTGTTGTTGTTGTTGTTGTTGTTGATGCTGTTGCTGTTGCTGATGTTGTTGTTGTTGTTGTTGTTGTTGTTGTTGCTGTTGCTGTTGCTGTTGCTGTCGCTGTCGTTGTCGTTGTCGTTGTCGTTGTCGTTGTCGTTGTCGTCGTTGTCGTTGTCGTTGTTCGGCTTTTGTTGCTGTTGTTATAGTTTTTGTTGGTGCTGTTGTTTTCGTCTTTGTTGTTGTAACCTTGACATAAATTTCAGTTATTGCTACGAAGAGCGTGGAAAGTGACTACAGGCCACTAAAAGAAAAAGTAACAAGTCAGCTGGATGAAATTAACAAAATTGTCATTGGAAACCTTGGCAAATAGATAAGCTAAACTTAATCACTATATTGCGTTTATTATTTATTGACTTGTATGTACATTAAGATCATTTGGGTTCACGACCTGTTTACCTTGTTAATACAAATACTGTAAATAAACTATAAATTATCAAGTTGCTATATCATGACGTGATAAAACCATCATTGCATTGTTTTAATTACACATTTTACGGCATCAACAATAGCTCAAAATTGTCGGAATACTGTAAGGTATTTACAAATTTCCATAATCCCAGTGTATCAAATCAAATATTTATTTAATTAACCCATTGAGCGCCAGCGCTCTCCCGTTTGCGAGTAAAATCGTCCGGCATAAGACATGAGCGAAATAATAAAGCAGGGCGTGTTAGCTGCGCAATGCTATATAAATAGCCTGCCCCACGGCACAGGCTACGCAATGCAACTCATTGTGTTAAAGCCCTTAAAGTTATATAATTATGTTGAATTTAGGGGAATGCAATTTGTTTCACAACTATATATATATAGCATTACTGTGTTGGAGAAATCTTACAGGCGATGTCTTTCTGTTCGACATTTAAATGTGTCGGAGTTCCTGAGGAATCAGACGTAGTACTAAACTACTACAGTGCAGTGACAAAAACTATTTTTGAATAAATACCAACTGAAGGCTTATTGAATGATTTCGAACAAACTAACAGACCAAAAAACTCACACATCGAATATAAAACGATGCAAAACTTCGTTTGGGTACCGCAATATGATTAATTGCTAATTGTTCTCCCATTCAATTTTATAGTCAATCCTTAGACAAGGTTGTTAAAGTTGCGGTATACAGTGCGTTCGCACGTGTCAGCTTTAATTGTTTTTGCGTCCAAATAACGAGCTTCATAAACGAAGTGGCGACAACTTACATAATATATTTTCCATCTTAACGATCAAGGTAACACGATCATAGTGTATATAATAAAGTGTAAATAATATGATAAATGATCAAAGTAGCACATCAGGCTTTGCAAGACTTGGCGAAAGTGTTTGTATCAGCTGGCCAATGTAAGCTTGCGCAAAACAGACTGTGCCTGACTTTAACGTCTATAGCGTAAACACTCCAATCTAATTTAAAGCCCGTGCAAACCATGTTGGACGATATTCGATGGGAATTTTGGAGAAAGTCAGCAACATAGAACATCAGCGAACATAACCTAAGATAGTGTTCAAAATCAACAACATATATAGAACATCAGCTAACATAACCTAAGATAGTGCATGTTCAAAGTCAGCAACATAGAACATCAGCTAACATAACCTAAGATAGTGTTCAAAGTCAGCAACATACAACATCAGCTAACATAATCTGAGATAATGTTCAAAGTTAGCAACATAGAACATCAGCCAACATAGCCTAACATAGTGTTTAAAGTCAGCAACATACAACATCAGATAACATAACCTAACAGTGTTTATAAGTCAGCAAGTACATAGAACATCAGCCAACATAGCCTAACATAGTGTATATAAAGGCAGCATGCAACATACAACATCAGATAACATAACCTAACGTAGTGTTCAAAGACACAATGTTGCATCCAACAATGTCGAATGATGTTGGTCTGGTTTGAACGGGCCTTTAGGCAAAAACGGGCCTTTTTTGTAAAATTGACTAGTAAATTCTTCTGAAATCGTTCTCCATCTTCAACACCCTTCTATTTTTAAGTACAAGTCTTGTGCCTTACAACCGCCACACCTCGCACCACATTTTCCAGACACTACCTGCTTGTCCACGTCAACATTGTAATTCACTGGTTGATGTTCTGCACATTCAGAGGGCCAGCCAAAGTAGGACCATTTGATAGGAGTAACAAAATACAGGCCAGTATCTCGTATATCCATTCTGAAGTTACCAATCTTGTTTGCAGTACAATCGCTTGTAACGCAGTCGCCCGCTGAGCCATACCTCTGAAAAATCGTCATTGTATCACTCCAAGTTAGGCGAGCAAAGCGGTGATCTGTTGTAGTAATCTGAAGATCTGCAGTTATACGAATCTAGATATAGGAATTGGACAACATGAAATTATAGGACATGCAACGACGGAAATCAGAATAGCTTGGCACTATCATGTACACTGTCTGTGCACACGTAAAAACACACATGTTGTTACAGGTCTGCAAATAAGTTGTTACAAATCTGTTCACAAGCCGTCGACAAGTTGTGTTCGCATTGTTGTTCCCAGTTGTAACAAGTTTGGAACAAGCTGTTAACAACTTGTAACAAACTTGATGGCTATCAGACTTGTTACAAGGTTTGTCTAACAAGTCTGATACAATCATGATATAACAAGAACGTTACAAACCGTATTGTTCCAAACTTGTTGACAACTTGGGACAAGCAGTGCGAACACAACCTGTTGACGACTTGTTGGCAGACTTGCTACAAGATGTGAGATAAAAATGCAAGCAGGTTTGAGCAGGGCGGTTATAAGATATACAATGCTCGTTTCACCGCCCTATCTTATAACCGCCCTGATTTGAGTTTGATGAAAACTGATGAATTAGCCGAGTTTTTCCTTGCCATGGGACCAGCCTTGTCCGCCATTTTTGGGTGGCAAACTGCAACAACAAAGGATAATAAGTAAAGGAGTGATTTAGTAAAGTAAATAGCACTCGGATAATAGTACTGTGTTTCTACCATAGATATGGTTTCTACTCACTAAATTCACTTCTTTGCTTGTTGCCATTTATGCTACACGTGCCGTTTGCAACCCAAAAACTGCGCAGAAGGTTTGTCGCATGGCGTAAATAAGAAAGCTAATACAACTGTCCATTTCTAAATTTGACTATCATCTGCATGATTCCATGTAACGCTTACCTTGGAAAATTTAGTGGTTGATCCATAATGGTTAAATTCTTGCGGTGACATTGTATTGTCCAAGTGTGAAAAGTTATTCTCTTCACCTGAATTTAATGTAATGTATTCTTTCGGCTCGGTCGTATTCATATCAGCGCAGTATACAAGTACTGATTTCCTGCAAGTGAGAAATTGTAACTGCAGGTAATGTTCTCCATCCTGGTGCTCACACTTGGAAAGTTCTTTGCATGACTTAAATACTGGAAGAAAAACATTTATGCGGTTAATAATATGACTCGAAGACTCTATCGCAACAATGGCTGATTGGCTAGCAAGCCTAGCATTTGAGAAACCATATGATATTTGACGATGCATGGTCAACCGTATACTTCATATTTTCGCTTCCGCTAGCCCCCGAGACCAGTGATACACAGTCTCGTAACCACAGTGAATCTGTCGCAAGTCAATTGCTCGAGATTGCTTCTGATTTGATATCACGATCAAACAATTGTTACTGGCAGGGTCGTACATGAGGGGTGGATTGGGGAGGGCAATTGCTCCCACAGAAAATTTAACTTACTTTGATATTTATATTATATACATTATAAAGTGGGGGGGGGGGGCGACAGTTTTTCAAGCTGTGCACGGTCGTCGAGACAATTAACTTTTGGGCATTACTGGCGTAGTTCTCGGAGTTTGCGCTTTTCACTTCTGATATGGTATTAAAGTTTGAGGGTAGGTTCGATTCTCATTCCAGATTGGTTCCAATGGCTCTAGGTAGCAGATTGACTAAAACCTAGTCATTGAGAGTTACATTGACGACGTACAATCGATTTTTACCTTTGTGTTTTTCACATCTTGAGCCAAAGAAGCGACATGGACATGCGCAGCTAAAACCAAAACTATTGGACGAATTAACTTGACATTGACCACCACTGAGACATTTATTCTAAAATTAATAATAAATTCCAAGAAAATACAATCAGTATAATCCCAAGAAGTGTCTTCGGTGTAGTGTCATCATAGTTCAATAATTTAGATATTTGGACTGATAGATTAATTTTAGATTAATAATCCGTACTCGTTCCCTAAAACTCCACCTCATAATTTCCATTAATATTTGTCTTATGAAAATAACGAACCGTTTGCCTTCTTGAATCACTCAAGGTGGCGACACCAATATTTCAAACGTGTCCAAATTGTGTTGGCTGATGTTGTAACATTAAAAAGTTGATTTGATATAAAAAATAGTTAAAATGAGGCAGAAGCTTATCCGCAGAAATAAAAATATCCCGGAATTGCGTTTGTAAAAGAAAAAAATGGATGAATTAGAGTCGTACGAATCAGAACAAACTATAATGTTTTAAGCAACTTTCTAATAATGAATTCTAGCTTGCGAAACTGATCGAAAATAATCTTAATTATTTAACAATTATGCGCCGAAGGCGAGGTGATTATCGGTGAATAAAAACCGAGACGAAGTCGATGTTTTTATTCACGATAATCACCGAGCCTGAGGTGTATAGAGTATAATTTCATAGGTGATTATTTGGAAAAATATAAAAACTTCCACCAAAGCTAGGCTAGGGTTGCTCGCGTTATACTGCGACTGTGTGCCGTATATATGGCTAGTAAATGCCGAAGGTGTCTCAGTCACTTGATGATTATCTTACAAAACCAATTGGCCTTGTGGCTAGATAGAGTACAAGTTCTTATGTACTATAAGCTAATATATGTACTAATCAATAAGTAATCATTAATTTGTTGCGCTTCCCAGGCTAGGGACTATATATATATATATATATATATATATATATATATATATATATATATATATATATATATATATATATATATATATATATATATATATATATATACGACAATGACCAAAACTTGCCTTAGCCAACAGCACAAAAAAATTACGACAAAGAGATGGCTACGTATCGAAGAATTTATTAAAGATGACTAAAGTAAAGTATACAAATAAATTGACACGGCCTTCCTCAGAATAAAAACTAGGTTACAGCACATGGCATTTATACTATTTAGCATGCTAAGTAATTAACTTAATCCTATTGTTGTACAAAATCATGCGTAGAGTTAAGTCCTCTTTGATTAGTCAATAGCATACCAATCCAAAAATTTTCACATTCCCTTAGGTTGCCCTGGCGCCGATCAATTAGCATGAATTTCAACAATGAATAATCAGCACCATGACAATCCAGAAAATGGTTAACAATACCACAGGTTCTCTTATTACGTTTGATGTGAGACTTGTAATTAGCGAGTCGGGTCTTAAAATTGATAGTAGAACCCACTCCTTGCAAATTGCAAGTAACACAACTAGCAAGATAAACAACATTATCGGAGGTGCAAGTAAGATCTTTACCAATCTGAAATACTCTTTTAGAAACTGTGGAACTAAAGGTGGAACCT